ATTTTTTATAATTTTTTATAATTATTTATAAATTAATGCTGATATCGGTCTGAAATGCACGCATGTCTGCCGATAGTTTATTATTATTATTATTATTATTATTTTAATTTTAGACTAATGAAATGAATTCTTAGACTAAAAAAAAGACATTGAGCACGACATGAAAGTAAATATAAATACAAGTGCGTATGTAAACATAAAAATAATATATATCTACGAATATTTTTTGCGATTTGCAGATGAGTGTTACGACAGCGACAAATTTAGAAAATGTAAATGTAGTATAACAGAAACTTACACACTTATGATTATAAAAGAAAAAATTCAAGTATTATATGCCGCTGGAGCGAAAGCCATTAGCATTCATTTAGAAGCAAACATGACGCTAATTTTTGGTGAAGAATATTAATGATCAAAATGAAATGCTTGATCCTTAATAAGCAAGGCGTTGTTGCTCTCGCCTATTGATTTACATGCATGTTTGCAAGGGGTGATGATAAGCTCAAATTTAGCTAGCAGAGAAAATTATCGATATCCTTAACTCAGCTCCGTTAAATAGTCAGAGTCTATATATGGTCAGATTTGGAAGCCTACTTTGTCCAAATTACGAAACGCAAAATATTTTGTATGGATAAATTACATGAAAATACTTTTCAAACAAGCTAAACAAATTCGAATTTGGATTTCAGAGTGGGATAAGGAAGGGGAGGGTAGCATGAAAGAAGGATATGAGGACGAAGGAAAAACGAATGCTTTCCTTAATATATTTTTTCACAGCCATTTTTGGCTCACATACAAATTTCTCAAAATAGTACTGGAAGGAAAGTTTGAATTTCTTTAGCTTATTCGAAATTCATATAGATTCACGATGTGTTCACAAAAATATCTTACATTTCTTAACTTGGACGAATTAATATTCCAAATCCAACCATATTTTGACAGCGTCATGTTCAGGCGCTTATGGAGATTATAAGAAAGTCAGTTAGTGTCTTTGCTAGTTAAATTCGAATTTATCTTCACACACTTCATTGCTTAAATTCATTAATCGGAATCGGTCATCGCACCTGACTTATTCAGATTGCTGTTTGTTGGAATTCGTAAAGAAGTTTCGTCTATGCCGCACAAAATAAAGAAAAAGTAGAGAGAGGAAGAAAGTGCGAAAGCTGGATATGTGAAATTAGAAGAGACAGAATTTTAGTAGACGAAAGCACGCGATCATTATTGCGAACTATCAATAAAATATAAGTTAAAGTTAAGTTAAAAGTTATGTAAAACAGTCAGTTATTCAAAGACACCAAATAAAGGGAAACGTCCTTAAAATATAAATATTTTGAATATAATTTTTTAGAAATGCTTATAGAAGCAGAGACAGAAAGCCGAAAACTTTTACAGTCCAATGTTCTCTGGAAATATTTTTTTATTTTTAAATTTATATTTCAATAGCTAAACAACTCAAAGAATCTTAAAGATAATTAACTCTCAAGTTAAATATAATAGAGTTTAGATTGTTAGTAAAAATGAAAAAAAAGAAAAAAATTAAGTTACGAAATAGTGTTAGTCAACTAATTCATTACTTTAATTTAGTTTATTATTAATTAATAGTAACAATTATTAACGAAAATACAATTATGCAATAATAATTACTGTTATAATTATTAAAAATGTGTAAGTGTAAGTGTTAGCTTAAACCATCAGCCATGTAAATAACATTAATCTCTAAAGAAAACAGCAACTAATTAAAATAGTCAATTTTAGGCGGAATGCGATACTTGCATAGGCCAATGGTAAGTTTCTGATCATCTTCATACATAAAATTCAGTAATCACAATATTTTTTAATTTTGACATGTTTAATGATGTTTAATGATGTTAAACATGTATAACATTGCTTAATTTTGACGTGTTTAATGATGTTTAATAATATTTAATAATTTTTAATAATGTTTAATGATGTTAAAAATGTATAATTTTGCTTAATTTTAACATGTTTAATGATGTCTAATAATTACTTTTTGTAACAGGCTTTTAGACGGATTCCGATAATTAACTAAGCGTACGAGAGAAATGTCAATCAAGACCAGACACCAGCCAAGAACAGGGACGAAGGGCCAAAATCCAAAGTCACTTAAAAGTCACACTTAGTTATGGGTAGAAAAGAAGCTAGAAACCAAAATTACATTTTTCCCGGTTTTTCATTAATTTTCATAGATTATCAAGTTTAAAAGAACCTTTGCAGATTGATGATAGCTGTAAAGTGTTACCTAAGCATTCACCGTGTTTGAAATTAAAAAAAAAAGGTTCCAAAAAATTCCAAAAAATTCCGTAAACATCTAAAACATCAAGAGACGGAGCTGACAACATTTAGTCTATAAGATTTAGTATGTAGTTATTATTAATTTGAAATTTATATTTAATTTTATTGTGAAATGTAAAGTTATTACGTAAATAAATTGAATTTAAAAAAAAATTTATCGTTGTTCCATTTATATTTAATCTAACAATTATTTATTTTTATTTTTTCTTCACACCACCATAATGTTAACAATCTAATAAAAATTTTACATTCCTTGGTATAATTGGTCTATGTTATATTCCATTTACTTTCAGGTTCGTCTCCTATTATTTATTTATAACTATATATATTATAAGATATTACTTATATATATTAGAACGATTACCCCGTCATCAACAGGATGAGGTAAGAAATTTAAGAAGAACCCGAAGGAGAGTTCACACCATTCGTGCTCGAAGATCTGCACATAGTCCAGCTGAATAACAAGAGAGAAACCTGCGGCTGCTCACAGCAAAAGAGCGCAAAAATAACTTGACCCTCACCAGTGACTACCTGAAGCCGTCTTTCCTGAAACCGTTCGATCAAGCCTACGATCTCTTTCACGCAGTAATGGACCAACACATAGTGGAACGAGACGTAGCCAAGCGCGTGCAGGCAGCTATGGTGTCACGGTTTGCCTTCTTTCGAGAAGTAGGTTCCTGCAGCAGCGGCAGATCAATTTACTTGGGTACCTTCTATTTATACCGCTGACAGGAGGAAGCTTCAGGAGCCCAGTTGATCGAAACATTTCTTCATTCTAAGGTAATTGAAATATTGTATATATAATATTTATAAATTACTAATTTCTTTCTTCTAATTCAGAGTACAAAATGTTCACCACACGTAGAAGGAGATATCGTGCTTTAAATACACCAAATTATTATTATATATCTGTAAGCGTGTATTAATTATTTACGTTCTCATATTTTATTTTAGATTAAAAAGGAACGATGCGACCCCGCCCAACGCCTCAGATACACGAGGATTCTCTGTATGCCAAAGGTAAGTTTGTCCTTTCTTATTATTATGTATAAATTGTTCATTTGCTTTTATTTGATTTTAGATTAAAAAAGGGTACGCCTGCACTATCGTAGATGTGGTAACGCTCTCAACCAACCTGCAATCTGCGTTCAAGCAGAATCTTGGAGAAGAATAAACAATCAGTTTCGATAAACGCACCATATGACAACTGCCATTCTTCGACACCTCATATGATCTCACGATTCTAAGTGAACAGTAACCGGGAATAGAAATCTGGCAACGCCGAGAAGAGAATTCTGGCAGTGCATTGCAAAAGCTCATTACTGGTATAAGCTCATATCCGTTAATTCGAACCGATGATTGAGCTTATTCGAAACTTTAATTTTATGATCACTCCCACAACGACATCAATTTTCTTGCAGCGCACACTAAAGATTTTCAATTTCTTTCGGACTACTTTTTTGTTCAAATCGGTTTTTGTAAATTCAC